TTTAAATATATTTTCCCATTCTATCAAATGTGCCCAAAGAAAACCGCACTACAAAATAAAAAAATACAAAAAAACACTGCAAAGTCTGTTTTAATCGAAAATTAGGGGGTCTCGTTTTTTTTCTTCATTAGGCACTGTGTGATGTATTCTTATATCTGGCCCCAAAATTTACGCTCAAGCTTATCAGAGTAGATCTACGGTTAGGACCCTCAAAGGGTTAAAATGTCGAAGTATATTTGTGTGGGTAGGGTGGGGGTGCCTGGCTGGCTACATCCCTACCAAACCCCCCAACTTTTTTCAATAAACACCTCATTTCCCCTCACTAAGACTAAAAATATTTTGAGGAAATTTAAAGAGTGTATGTGTGTATTTTTACTTTTTTATGTTTTTTAATTTTTCTTTTGTAATTTTTATATTTTTAGTGAAAACTTTTTATCTGACATTCTCAGTGGAAACAAATGGCGTTTGCTTTCCGGTGATGACCTTTTCCGGCAGTAGCTGGAACCAAACCTGCTGTATAAGTGGGGGCCCTGCTGTATTGTTTTACTAGTTGGTAAGGGGAAAGCTTACAAAAAGCATTAACCCTTTCGAGCCCAGCCCCCTGATCTGAAAATTGCTTTCAGGATCCAAATTTTTAAAAAAAAAAATTTCCCAAGGAATAAAAACCAAAAGTTGAATTTGAGGGGAAAACTTGGGGAATTAGCTTGAGCCCTGTTTTAGGCCAGTTCCCATTGTAGCATTGCCCAAAAATTCATCGCTTTTCCTTTTCTTTTGATTGAGTACTAGAAAATTCCCATTTCCTTTTCAACTACCAAATTTAAAGTGATTAGAAATTGGAAATTATATGTTTAAAATTTTTTGGCCCAATTTTCCCAAAAAAATTAAAAAATTCCCATTTTAAAAGTAGGGTACATAATAAACAATGGAGACTTTCCAGGCACTAAAACATTTTCTTGTTTTTTTCAGTGACCTTATATTCAAGATTTATTTGGCTTTTTTTTTTGGGTTTTATTACACTATAAAAATCACAGATAATTTTATATAAACTTATAAAATTAACACAGTTCATTTTAAAAGGGAAGAAAATATTTGTAGTGTCCCCTGGGGGATATTTCCCTAGTCAAGCCCCCGTTGTAGGGGTTTAAACCGCTGTTCCAGTTTGTACAGTTAAAAAGATGAGTTTGTGTGGTGAAAACAAATTATTTGACTGAAGACTTATTTGTGGATTACTTGACGGGACAGACTTGACAGACTTACTTGACAGATTAAACCCTTGACAGATTACTTGACGATTTTACTTGCAGATTTTTTGGGACAGACTTACTTGACAGACTTACTTGACAGACTTACTTGACAGACTTATTGACGGGGCCCTTACTTGACAGCTTCCCCACAGATTATTGATGACTTATTTGGGGATGACTTACTTGACTGACTTACGACATGACGGGAATTACTACTTACATGATTGACTTACTGGCTTACTTGACTGATGATTTGACCAATTTGCTGATTTGTTGACTTTATGCTGATGACTTAAATGACTTACTGATTTGAAGATTTGATTGAATGACTGCTTGATGATTTGATTAACTTCTATGACTTTATGGCTAGACTTTTTCACTGAAGATGACTCTGGAAATCTAGAAGCAGTGCTCGAAAGGGTTTGTTAAAAGCAGTGATGCCTTACGCCAGCTGTATAATGTATGCAGGTAAAAACCCCAGAAATCCTTTTCAGAATTTATACACATCCAGTACAACCATTGACTTCATTTCCGAGCCCTACCATCCATCAGCCCAGTAGGGCCCACGCATAACTCCCCACTTTTCACAATCATCTCAAACACCAGCCCCCAAAAAATTTTAAGGTAAGAAATACATGTACCCTACCATCCAAAATTCGACCTGCTCGAATGGGCCTTTGACTTATGACCGTGTTTTGTTTCAAATTTCGGGAAAAATTAAACAATTGTTTGTGTTGTACACAGTGTTATCCAAACCTTACAGTATAAATACAGTACAAACAGCATAAAAAAGAAAAAGAAAAAAATGAAATACTAAAAATAAAACAATAAAAAAAAAGTCTTTAAAAAATGTGATGTTGATGTTCGTAGTAAAGATTCGAGGGGTCCATTTCGATTTACGATGGTTGGTGGGGGAAACCAAAACTAGGGTAAGTCAGATGGTACCTGTTATTATTTTGTTGCTTTGTAGTCTTAGGCAGTAAAAACAACAAAATTATGTCTTGAAAAATAAAACAACAATTACTTTTCACTTTTTTTTTGTAAGTCGGGAAAGGTTCAAAAAAGTTTTTTGGGGTTTTTTTTGGGGCTTTAGGAACGAAACCCTTTTTTTTTCCTAATTTTCTTCGTTCACCCCTAACAGGGTTTTATTAAACAACTTTTCGGGAAAATGTAAACTCCCGTGAAATTTAAAAGGGGTTTTTGTAGTTATGTCCCAGGCCTCTCCATTTTGAATTTTTTCCACCAAAAAATAGAAGATTTTTTATGCAGACTACTGCTTTATTGTAATAACGTATAAAAAATGTAGCGTATTCTGAAGTGTATTGCTGCCCAAATTGGATCGTTTTGGGACGAGCGTAAAATTTTGGGCCCTCGGGAAATTGGGCAAAAATCAAACATTTTCTTTAACTTTGAGCTCAGTTTTAAAGTACTGAAGTCCTAAAACCACTAAAAATTTCCCCTTTTAAAAACCAGGGTTGGGGGGGGCTAAAAACTCTGGCAAGCGAGTTGTAAAAATCCAGCCCGGGCCATAAGCCACTGGGCCAGTGGCTGCTTAAATTTCATCCAACTAGGTCGTATTTTTTACCCCATGGGGAAAATTTAGCTGTGCCCAAAATGTGACCAAAAATGCAAGTTTTTACGGGAAAAAATATCCCGCCGTATGGCTGATAAAATCTAGCTCAAGTCTTTCAAAGCCATCATCTTTGACTCATAAAATCCTAATAACGGGTTGCAAACAAACCATGGTAGGGGTGAGGTTAAATCATGGAGGTGGTTTCATAAAATTCCAGGCAGAAATAAGCCACTGGGCCAGTGGCTACAATAAGATTATCCAACTAGGTTATTTATACCCATATGGAGGTTGTGGGTTCCCTGGGGGCCTAAATGCAAGTGGTTACATGGACCTGGAGTTTTATGACCCTTGCTGGTTTGACCCCCTTTTGTACATGGTTTGTTTGCAATATGTTATTACGAATTTCAGGAGTCAAAATCATTTCTATTTCTGTAATTTTTTTCCCATTCTAAAAAAGATCAACAAACTGGAATACAAAAAAATAAAAACCCAAAAATCCCCCATTTAGTTGCTTTTTTAAAAAAAAAAACGTTTTTTTTTTTTCCCTTTTATTGCCCCAGTGTGGACGGGAATTTTTTTTATGGTGCCATTATGCATAGATCCTTCTTCAAATAGGGCCCAGTTTATGCTAAAATGCTTATCTGGCAAGTGAAATGCTCTGTAGTTCTACTAAAAAGCCCCTGAGCTCAAAGCTGTAGTATACGAACAGACCTTGTAAGGGTTTAAAGAAAAAATCAATCAAAAAATGAAAACATTCAGTACTTTTACATATTAGTCCCAAATTGTTTTAAACTTTCATATTTCCAGCAATTTAGGGTGATGCAAAGAAGGAAACCATTCCCCCATCGTCATTTCTAGCTGGCTTGACAGAAATGCGGGGCATACACAGAAAAATGCCCTTGTAACTGAAATACCCCCCCCCCACAGTGCATGTTAAATAAATAATCAAAAACTTTGTCTTTGATCTAACTTCAACCAGTTTATGTTCCTTTTTTATTTTTTTTTTTTGCACTGAATTTCCTTTATAAACACTTTCTAATGAAATAATTTTTATATAAAAAAAACAAAAATTAAAAAATGGCATACTTATGTACTTGATTCTGTATATGAACTGTGAATGACTGACTTGATATTTATTCTTTATTTTTTCAGCAAAAAGTTGAATGTATGAAATGGTTTTTTTACATCACTGTTTTGAACAATTGTTCGATGTAGTTATTTCCTGTTAATAAAAAAATGTTAATTTGTTTTTATTATTATTATTTTTTATTTTTTTTATTATTTTTTTTTGTAGGTAGTGGTTTGGTAGACAGCAACCACCCAGGGGGGTACTACCGCCCTGCAAGTGAGTGTAAAAGGAATAGAAATTGTTTTACATGATGGTAGGATTGCTGGTGTTTTTTTTCTGTCTCTTAAACATGAAAGATTTTAGGTACATTTGTACTTCTACGTACCTTAGGTCCACTCCCACATACATGTACAAGCATTATATTCACACTCCTCGGGGTTTTCTTCATTTTCTTTTAGTTCTTTTTCTTGTTTATTTCCTTTTCCCCATGGGGAGGTGGAACAGATTTCCCCCGAAAGCCATGCGTGTTGTAAGGGCCCCTTTTAACCCCCTTCTTCTGTATAAATTACTAAATTTTAAAGAAAGAAATTTCGTTTTTTTTTTTGGGCCCCCTTTGTTGGTGGTTACAGCTGGTTTTTTAAAAAAAAAAAATTATTTTTTATTAAAAAAAATTAAGCATTTAATCCACAAGGGTCTACAGCTTGATCTAAATGTGTATTTTATTTTAGTACATTTGTAAAATAAAATGCTGTACTAATTATTATGGGTGATGTGTTGCTATACCTTTAAAAAAAAAAAAATACTAATTTTAAAAGATAAAGTCTTAATTTTTTTTTCTTTAATCTAAGGTTAAATTGTCTCCATGGCTTTGGAGAAAACCCTTTCCCCTCCATGGCTATGATTTTAAAAAGAGGCAACTAAAAGGCCACAAACTTGGTGCTTGTAACCTCTTACGAAATGAAAAAAAAAAGAAAAATATTTTTTTTTTGGTCACCCTACATCAGTGGAAAACAGCCGGTGTGTTAAAGAAGAAGTTTGATGTTATTTTTTTTTCCATTAATGTGTCATGTAGATGATGGAAAAAAATTACCGGAATTTTTTTGTGATGTTTCAGCTTATGGTGATATTATCTAGGCGGAGAGACCTTGAAGAGACCATTACAAAGCTTGTAAGCCCACAGCGTTTTTCACCAGGAGATATGGAGGAAAGTGCAAATTAAAAATTTTCAGTGTAAATGAGTTCAAAAAATTTTTGGTATTAAGAGGACTCTAAAATTAGGTTGATTCTTATCAATATTTAATCATCGTGCCAATTTTGCAGACACTTGCCTGTTTATTACTGCGCTTGGACTCTTAAAAAAAAGATAAAAAAGCTTTGGCGTTTTTTTACGGGGCTAAACGGTCATTTCAATTTTTGACCAATTCGATTTGGCCCCCCACCGATTTCTAAAATTTGGGATCGTGCCCCACCGGTTTTTTTTACATTCTTGTGGATCTGTAAACATAAGTCTCTCCCCTTTTGTCCCCGGATTCCCAAATTTTTAAAAGGTTTTTTTTTGTTTTTCAATATTTTTTATTTTTTTTTTTTTTTTTTTTTTTTTTTTTTTAAATCCCCCCCCACCGGCAGGGGACCCAAAAAAGAAAGAAAACCCCAAAAAGAAAATACTTTATTAAAATTTAATTTCAACACTTTCCCCTTATCACTGTTTTTTTTAATTTTTAAAAAACACGAAGCTCCATTAAAGATAAACAACCCTCCCCCAAAAAAATAAAAATCCTTTTAAAGTAGGTTGTTTCCCCTTTTCCGGATAAGTCGCTATATGAAAATTTTAAAAGGGGCCCGAATCCTTTATAAATTTATTTACTAAAATGTCATTTTCCCAAGTATTTTTTTCCCAAATTATTAACACGTACCCCCTTCGGAGAAATTACCACCAAAAAAAAAAAAAAAAAAAAAATAAAAAAACAAACCCCCCCCCCAAAAAAAAAAAAAAAAAAAAAAAAAAAAAAAAAAAAAAAAAAAAAAAAAAAAAAAAAAAAAAATCTTTTCCCCTTTTTCACCCCCCCGAGAAACCCCCTTCCCCGTTTTCCCCCTGATTTTAATTTTCCTTTTTTATTCTCTTTTCCAAAAAAAATTTTCAAATACCAAACCACCTCAACCCTTTTTTTTTTTCCCCCTTTTTACTAAACTCCCCCCCTTCTCCTAATTCCCCTTTTCCAATTTTTTTTATTTATTTTCCCCAAACCCTTCCCTTAAAAAAATTTTTAAAATAATTTTCCTGTTTTTTTACCCCAAAAAACTTAACAAAAGATGTGGGGCTTAATTTTAAATTTGTTTCCATAATTTTAAATTTTTTACCCCTTTAAAAACCCCCTTTTTCCCTCATCCCTTTTAAAAAAATATTTAAAAAATGGGAATTTTCAACCCAAGTATTAAAAAATTTCCCTTCTTTAACCCCTACCCCCCATTTTATAAATCCAATTTTTTTTAAAATCATTTGACATTTTAATTTCTTTTTTCTTATTTTTTTACCTTTCTTTCCCCCTTTTTTTTATTTTTTGCAATTTTTTCTTAATTAAAAACCCCTTCTTCCCGAAAAAGTAACTGTTCAATTTTCCCCTTTGAATTTGTTTTTCCCATAATTTTTAATTCCCCCCCTTTCCCAAAAAACCCCCTTTTTTCTTCCAACCAACCCCTCTTTTAAATTTTTTTAAACAACCAAATTCTTCCCCTGTTAAAACATTTTTGGGAAAAATTTCCCTTTTACCCCTTTATTCAGGTATACACAAATAAGTTACATAGATTATCATACATAACAATATATGTGTAGAGAACCCAGGATAACCCAAAAAAGTCAGAGTGACTTATTTCCATTGCCTTCACTCAGAGCATTATTTCTTCTCAAAATGATGTTACATGAGAATGGGAGTGTTCTTTATTTATTCTACCGTATCAATGTAGAGACAACTTGTACACAATGTAACTTGTACACAAACCAGACGTGTACACTTTTTTGGTTTACAAAACTTACGTTCGCCTGGTTTGTTTACATAACTCTGCGCCTGTCCTCTCTCATGCACTCATTCTTTCTCTCTCTCATTTATACGTTTTATCTCATTTACTTACTCCTGACCCTACATTAAGACTACAAATATTTTAAGGTAAGTAATGAGTGAACTGTATATACATTTTATCGCTCTGGGATGCTTAAATATCATAGAATAGTATGTGTGGGTGGGTTGGCCTGGTATGGTAGCCCGGCTGACTACATACATACCGCACTTGATTTTTTACAATAAATACTACTCATCTCACCCTAGATTAAGACTACAAATATTTTAAGGTAAGTAATGAGTAAACTGTATATGCATTTTATCGCTCTAGGATGTTTAAATGTAATAGAATATTATGTGGCCTGGTATGGTAGCCCGGCTGACTACCATACATACTACACTTGATTTCTTACAATAAATACTACTTGTCTCACCCTAGATTAAGACTATAAATATTTTAAGGTAAGTAATGAGTGCACTATGTGTGTATTGTACTTTTTTATTGTTTTTTGATGCCTGGTTCTATTGCTAACTTAATATATGTTAGTGTAAACTTGTTATCTAGTGTTTGTATGCATTTATAAGTGGAAAAAAAGGGTGTTCCACTTTACGGTGGTAGCCTGGAGCCTAACCTGCCGTATAAGTGGGACCCTACTGTATTTCCATTAGAATATATGGAGGTTGCAGTGGAATTGCATATTCTAAGGAAAGCTCCTCATTATGCAAAGTATTTGGGCATTCCACTCAAAGTGATGACTTTGGCATTATGGAAACTGAACATGGTCATTTCTCATAACCAGTGTAAATTTTGTCTTGATAAATTAGACACATATGCAACACTTGGGTATCTTTATTGAGGAAACATTTTGCCACACAGTGGCTTCATCAGTCCATACAAAGAAGAATGGTGAAGAACAGGAGGAGTATGAGGTAATCAGTCCCTCAGCCTTGAGTCGATGTGGTCAGTCAATCAATTTTGAAAAGAATGCAGCATATCTCCGGAGAAGTAGCTTATATACCGTAGGCAAGAGAGGTGCAGCAGTTGTAGGTGGTATCACATTTGTCCAGTGTGGAAGTAGGTCATGCCCAAGGGTTAGGCGAGTGAAGAATTCCCTGTATTAAGATCACAAGATGTTGCTGTGTCAGACAGGAATGTAGATGAATGGTTCAGAGAACCGACAAGTTGATTAATTAGATACATATGCAACACTTGGGTATCTTATTGAGGAAACGTTTTGCCACACAGTGGCTTCATCAGTCTATACGAAGAAGATATGCTGTATTCTTTTCAAGATTGATGGACTGACCACATCGACTCAAGGCTGAGGGACTGATTACCACATAGATCTACGTTTTTTTTACATATCTTCAAATATAACAAAAAAAAAACGTAGATCAAAGTTTTTTACACGTTTTCAAATGTAAAAAAAGAAAAGAAGATCTACTTCTTTTACATACTTTCAAATGTTGAAAAGACGTAGATCTACGTTTGGACAGTTTAAGGGTTAAGTTAGCAATAGAACTTATGCATTAAAAAACAATAAGAAGTAAAATACACACACAGTACACTCATTATTTACCTCAAAATATTCGTAGTCTTAATGTAGGGCAAAAGGTGAGTACCATTTACTATAAGAAGTTAGGTGTGGAAGCCCTCCTGGCCACCCCCAACCACACATACTACGACGATGCTTAAATAGAGTGATAAAATGCATATACAGTACACTCATTACTTACCTTAAAATATTTGTAGTCTTAATGTAGGGTGAAAGGTGAAAAGTATTTATTTGTAGAAAGTGGTGTGGTAGGTAAGGTAGTGTAGGGAAGCCAGCCTGTCCACCCCACCCACTATATAAACCAACAGACGATGCGTCTGGTTGTGGTTCGTAAACCTTCATACAAACGCCTTACATTGTGTACAAGTTGTTTCCACAATGATACAGTAGAATAAATAAAGACCAACACTTCCATTCTTATGTAATTTTTAGAAGGAATGATGCTCTGACAAATTATTGATATTATTATTATTATTACAAATTATTAAAAATTATTATTATTACAAGTTATTATTACAAATTATTATTGCAAGTTATTATTATTATAATCATAATAAAAAAGAAGCACTAAACCCACAAGAGTCATGAATTGCTATATATATAGAGGGAAGGCATACGAAAGGAATATTTATCTACAGTTATCCCCCCAGTGTTTGACTAGAGAAAACGTCATTCTTCCGACACTCCTACAGAGCCGCTTTGTAAACAAATCTCGTATTTATGTCAATTTTTATTCTGTGGGTGTATGTATAATGTTTATATGCTATGTAACGTGTTTCTTATATAATTTTGAAGAAAGTATCATAGATGGATTAATGAAAATGTCTTTATTAATGTAAAATAAGACATTTAATGTGCCCAAGAGAGATTAATATTACATAGTATTACTATGGCATCATGAGTAGGGAGACTCTTAGTGATTTTAATGTGTACCTACATGCCAGCACAGTGTGTAAGTATATTTAGGTACAGGTACACATAAGCATAATTATCAGAGTACATATAAAATGCGCAATAACTTTAAAACACTTGAAATTTTGGAAAGTTTCCAGACAAATAGATGTGCTCACGAAGAATGTAAACAAACCAGGTGGGGGTGCCGTATTTGAAAGACCACTTGGCATATAGCAAATTTTGGTCATAATTTGAAATCGCTGTATTAGCGGAATGCCATAAAGCGGGGTCCTACTGTATGTCTTCACTCTTATTTTTCTCTCTCCAGGCACTGGTTTCAAGAGTTTTAGAGGAAGCTGATCTAGATGATGATGGTATGCTGGCCTTTGCTGAGTTTGAGCATGTCATCTCCAAATCTCCAGACTTTGCAGAGTAAGTTCTAAATAGAGTAAAGTCTTGTATTTTAAATGCATTACAATTATTACACAGTTGAAGGGTTCATGTTTGCATCATGTCATTTTCACTAATTATTCAATGAGATACATGTATCTGCTACAGATAACTGAAATATACTAAATTCTCTGATAGAAAATAATACCTGTATTATGTACACGCATGTATAACAGAAAAATATTGATGAGTTTAATTACAGATACACTTAATAGATATGAAATATTCACTATTTCTTTTTTTCAGTTCTTTCAGAATTCGCCTTTGAATAAGTAGTGGAAAAGTAAGTACTGTATACAGCCTCTCCTCACTTAACGACAGGGTTCCATTCCTAAGAGTAGGTCTGTAAGTGAATTGGTTGTTAAGCGAAGAGCATACTATACTGATAGTGCATTTGTGTCATACCATCTTTAGATTTTTTTTAATGTCACCTTTACATCATTTATAACATTTGTGGTATATTTTTCAATGTTTATACAGTAGTGTACTATGCAGTGGACCCCCGCAAATTCAGAACCGCGAATTCGCGGCTTCAGTAATTCGCAGATTTTTCTTTAGAAACTAACTAATATTCGTTTGCAGGAATCCCTGTGGCAAAATATAACTTTTTATGTGTTTCAATGCTAAATATTAAGAAAAATATAATTTAATAATTTTGTAACGTAAATATTAATGTAAATTCAGCAAAATTTCCAAGTAAAATATAATACTGTATAAATTTATTCAGTTGGTATCATTCATTATTGGTGAGTACCCATACATTTAAGTTTACTTTTACTAAATTAAATTATTACCATGTATTTACTATATGTATACCAAAGAAAACTGGGTTGCATGAATTACAGTATACAGGTACCTTCCGACATGCCCAAGCTTGGTTCCGACCAACCGGTTGTAAATCAAAATGGATGTAAGTCGAATCTTAGAATATTGCCCATGTACTGAGTAATAGTAGTAGTTATACATGTGGTGGAAAAGTCAGCTGGTACATAAGAAAGAAAGGTTATGAAAGATATGGCTTGGGTAGCATAGAAAATAGGTTAGGCAAATGTATGTGGATGGATTTGAGAATGCATGTTTCAGAGTCCCTTCTAGAATAGAACATAAGAAAGGAGGAGCACTGCAGCAGGCCTGTTAGCCCATACTAGGCAGGCCCTTCACAATCCATCCCACTAACAGAATATTTGCCCAACTCAATTTTCAATTCTACCCAAGGAATAAGCTTTGATAATTCTATTAACTCATGTGCAAGTCCCACTCAAATCCAACCCCTCTCACTCATGTATTTATCGAACCTAAATTTCAAACTACCCAAGGTCTTAGCCTCAATAACCCTACTAGGCAGACTGTTCCACTCATCAACTACCCTATTTCCAAATCAATACTTTCCTAAATCCTTTCTAAATCTAAACTTGCCTAATTTGAATCCATTATTTCGGGTTCTTTCTTGGAGAGATATCCTCAAGACCTTATTAATATCCCCTTTATTAATACCCATCTTCCACTTGTACACTTCGATCATGTCTCCCCTCATTCTTCGTCTTACAAGTGAATGTAATTTAAGGGACTTCAATATCTCTTCATACGGAAGATTTCTAATTCAATGAAATGATTTTGTCATTCGTCGCTGAATGTTTTCTAACAAATTTATGCCCATTCTGTAAAATGGAGACCAGAACTGAGCTGCATAATCTAGGTGAGGCCTTACTAATGATGTATAAAGCTGAGGTATAACCGCTGGACTTCTGTTGCTTACACTTCTTGATATAAATCCCAGCAATCTATTTGCCTTATTACGCATGCTTAGGTAGTACTACTGTCTTGGTTTAAGGTTGCTGCTTTCCATAACCCACAAATCCTTTTCGCATTCTATACGGCTAAGTTCAACATTATTACGCTGGTAGGTGCTAGGGTTATGAACATTTCCGAGCTTTAAAACCTTACATTTATCTACATTGAACTGCATCTGCCACTTTTCTGACCACGAATTGAGTTTGTCTAAATCCTCCTGAAGTTCCGAGACATCAAGGTCTAAATCGATTATCCTACCTATCTTTGTGTCATCAGCAAATTTGCTTATGTCACTAGTAATTCCCTCATCAAGGTCATTTATATATATATTATAAACAACAATGGCCCTAAAACTGTTCCCTGTGGAACGGCACTTGTTACAGATCCCCAACTCAGATTTAACCCCATTTATGCACACTCTCTGCTTCCTATTAGTGAGCCATGACTCGATCCATGACAACACTTTTCCCCCAATGCCATGAGCAGCCACTTTCTTCAACAGTCTCTGATGTGGTACTCTATCAAAAGCCTTACTAAAATCTAAATAAACAATATCGAATTCTTTATACTGATCAACAGCCTCAAAAGCTTTGTTTAAGAAGGTTAATAAAGTATTTAGGCAGGAACGGACCCTGGTGAATCCATGTTGAGTATCATTAATCAAATTATGCCTATCAAGATGGCTTCTTATATTATTGGCTATAATTGACTAGTAATTTGCCTACAGTTGAGATTAGGCTTATTGGGCGGTAATTTGATGGTAACGACTTGTCTCCTGCTTTAAAAATAATAATTACATTAGCCATCTTCCACATATCAGGCACTACACCTGTTTGAAGAGATAAATTAAAAATATTAGTTAAAGGTTCACAGAGTTACATTTTGCATTCCTTAACCCTTTCAGGGTCCGTCCCGTAGATCTACGGCTTTACGTTCAGGGTCCAAACCGTAGATCTACGTCATGAGCTCAGCTCACTCTGATAAACTGTGAGTGGTACACTTGGGCCTAGATATGAGAGAATACATCTATGTAGTATGTGTGTAGCACATAAAACAAATCCTGCAGCACACTGTGTATAATGAGAGAAAAAAAACTGAAACCAAGATTTTCGATTAAAACATCAACTTTGCAGTGTTTTTTCGTATGTTTTTTATAGTTGTATTTGCAATTTCTTGGACTCATTTGATAGAATGGAAGACATATTACAGAAATAGAGATGATTTTGATTGGTTTTATTACTGGAAATGGCTTGAAACTGAGCTCAAAGTAGCGGAAATGTTAAATTTTTGCCGATGTTCAAGAGTAAACAAACGACCTCACATGTCTAATACACGCCAGCTGGTGGGTCTAGTATACATTCACAAATGTGGTGATGATATTTATACAATTATTACAATATTGCATAACAGTAAATCTTCTATTTTTTGGTGTGAATAAAAATTCATTTTTTGTGTGAATAAAAATTCATTGTGAATAAAAAATCAAAATGGAATTTATTTGTAAAGCCTCAAAACGTAACTAATGAACCGAGGAAATGTTAGTTTAGTGCCAGGAATACCTACATTGTTTATTCTGGACGCTATTTTGAAATTGGAATATTTTGAACTTTGTTATAAATTGGCCAAATTACCAATTTCCGATCACTTTATTTTGTAGTTGAAACAGTTGACTTGGCGATTTCTTGTGCTCAATCGATAGAATAGAAGTAATACTAGTGAAATAGCTAAAAATTTGGTCGACTGGAATGATGTAATTGGCCTAAAATGGGAGTCAAAGTCAGCAAAATCGCCGATTCATAAATATCGCTGACACATCAAAATTCGCGAGAGCATAATTTCGTCAATTTTCCATCAAATTTCGTACTTTTTGTTTTATTACCTTCATAAAAAGATTCTCTACCATTTCATAAGAAAAAATAACAAATTTTTTTTTTGGAAAATTCTTGGACACTGGGGCACCACTTCAGATTTTGGCCTTGGACCCTGAAGGGGTTAAGAATCCTTGCAAAAAGCTCATCAGGACCAGGCAATTTATTTTGCTTCAACCGATCTATCTGCTTGATAACCATTTCGCTAGTGACTGTGATATTACATAATTTATCTTCTTCAGGCCCACTAAAAAACCTAATTATTGGGATATTATTAGTGTCTTCCTGAGTAAAATCCGAGAGAAAATAATTATTAACCCTTTCAGTATGGCTTACGCACCAGGGTTATTGACGTACTAGTACGCCTAAACTCTAGCACCTTCAAATCTAGTGAGGGAAAGCTGGTAGGCCTACGTACGAAAGAATGGGTCTGTGTGGTCAGTGTGCACACAGTGCATAATGAGAAAAAAAAACTCCAACTGTGTTGTTGGTTTAAAACAGTGACTTTGCAGTATATTTTCATATGGTATTTATGGTTGTATTTTAGTTTTCCTGGTCTCATTTTATAGAATGGAAGACATTACAGAAATTGAGATGATTTTGATTGGTTTCATAATGAAAAGTGCCTTGAAATTGAGCTCAAAGTAGCAGAAATGTTCAATTTTTACCAAAGTTCAAAAGTAAATAAATCATGCCAGGCATCCAATACACGTCAACTGGTGAGTCTAATATTCTTTCACAAGTGCGCTGATATTATTTATACCATTTCTACAGTAATGCAGCAGTCTGCATAACAGTAAATCTTTTATTTTTTTGTGAGAATAAAAATTCAAAGTGTAAAGCAAAGGAGATGTAAGAGGGGCCTGGGGACATGACTAATGAACAGAGAAAATGTTATTTTAGTGTCAGGAATGTCTGTCTTGTTTATTCTGGACCCTATTTGGAAATTGGCATCTTCTGAAATTTGTGCAAAATTGGCAAAATTGCCAATTTCTGACCACTTTATTGGATAGTTGAAATCGGTAAATGGGTGGTTTCTTGTACTCATTCAATAGAAAAAATGGAATTCTTTCAAAATAGATATGATTTTTGTCAACTAGTACACTGAAATTGGCCGAAAATAGGGCTCAATGTGGGCGAAATCGCCGATGCGTAAACATCGTCGAGACCGCTAACTTCGCGAGAGCTTAATTCCGTAAGTTTTCCATCAAATTTCATACTTTTGGTGTCATTATGATCGGGAAAAGATTCTCTATCATTTCATAAGATTTTTTTTTGTTTTTTTCCGAAAAATTTTCGACTCTGAGAACGAGTTTAGGGGAGGGCCTCTCGACCCTGAAAGGGTTAAGAATAGAGCACATTTCATTCTCTTTTTCAGTAAGAACTCCATAGTTATTTTTAAAGAGGTGTGTGCAATGTGGACTAGGGTGCAAGCTTTTGCAGAGAAACACCACCTTGACCAAGCTGAAACAAGCCATATCTGTAACATGTTCAGTGACAAAACCTTGTCCCACTTCAGGGAAATCTTAAGAGAAATGCCAGAAACAGACCTCTATGGACAGATTTGTTGTGAGGCAGGGGTCCAGTGACTCTCAAGCTGGTCCTAGTAGCATTAACCCCTTCAGGGTCCAAGGCCAAAATCTGAAGTGTCTAGTGTCCAAGAATTTTCCAAAAAAAAATTTGTTATTTTTTCTTATGAAATGGTAGAAAATCTTTTTGTGAAGGTAA